GGAAATAGGGAATAACTAGATATGGCAACAAGGAAACTATGTATCGAGATACAAATATAGGATAGATGGGCAGGTGGAAAGACAGGGGACATTGGTCATACGGTTATCGGTTTGAGGAACATAACTTGTAGATCATAGTGGCGCAGAATTTAAAAATCATGTGACGATAGTAACAACGTGTTTGTATCAATTTAGAGTTCATGGAAGGAATGTTAAAAATATATTGAGACAGCATCAAAAACTTGCAGATTCAAAAACATTTGAGAGTACTCCTGTTAGTACGTAGTAGAACGTGTTATATAATGCAAATCTGAAAATTATTTCATTGGATTTGTGGGAATTTTCTTTTTTTCCTTTTTTTTTTTATATAGATATGGCGTGTTTGGTTTTGGTTTTTTTAGGGTATTCATTAGTAAATTACCGGTTTGGTATAAAATTTATGATATAGAACTTAATAATTAGCATTATACATAATATGCATATATACATATTTTGTAAGTTTATATACTTATACAATATTTGAAACTCAAAAATGTGAATATTAAAATGAAACAAGAAAAGATTAGCTCCATAAATTCTTTTTAATTATTATCCAAATGGCAAATTTATATCACATCATTTGCCAAAAAATAATAACTAATTGATTCCAAAATTGTAAATAATAATCTGATATTATTTCTTGGCATTCAAAAGATAAAAAAATCTCTGTGGGTTATTCTTAACAATTCCACCGATGTGGTAAACTTTTGTAACAAACATGAATTCCTAAACATATTTTAAAGGTCTATTTTTATATGTTAAACATTAATAATTATTATACTGTACAAAAGATATAGACGAAGTACTTACTTCTAATTTATGCAACTTTTTATGTACATAATAACTTTCATTGCTAATATTTATTCATACGGTATTTTCAGAATTAATTGATGATCTAGGTGTGTTGTACGTTGGAATAAACATAAAAAAATTATTACCTCTATCTTCATCCCCACACTCATTCTCATCCCCATCCTCTCCACTTTCACTACCTTCATTTTCAACCAAGTTTTTACACTCATTTTCAATTGACTTTACAAGATTTGGATTTTTTTCTACGTAAATGCTAAACATATATAAGAACCGAACTAACTCAATTAATTCATTAACTGAATTTTTTTTATAAGGAATTTTAGCAATTCCAAATTTTCTTAAACGAGAAAACGGTGCTACCATTTTTCTATCAACAATGAATAATTCCAATGAAGTTCCTAAATTGAGAATAAACGTTAATGTTTAGCTTTGATTAAGATAATAAATGTGGCAGCTTTTGCTGAGATTTGGAATCCCTCATTAAAACCTATAATATCTACTAAAATTCACATAAATATATTGTTTTTTTAATAAAAAAAAAGCCAACAAAAAAAAAGATCAAAAAATAGCTTAAGGGTAAACCACGATTTAACAAAAAATTTAAAGATGCACTAATAAACTTTTATAATTATGTTTAAATTTATCAAAATTTCAAAGTATTAAATTAAATCATGTTTTTTAAAAAATATACTTGAATATAGCACAAATTTTTCCAAATTTGCCAAGTTATACAAAATTGGTGATTTTGTGACAAAAATAATACCCAATCTTTAATACATACTTCTTATTAAATGTTTAACCGATTTTAATGATTTTACCACCGGTAGAATCAGAAAAACCTATTTTACAACTTAGAAATATGAAAGTTATTAACTTAATGAGTTTTTTTAGGATATTAAAAAATAAAAAAATTTACCATCAAGATCATATAAAAAATGATCTATGTATTTTCTATTCTTAAAATCTTAGCGTACACCAATCTCAGCTTAAGCTGCCACAGTAGATGAAATAAATATATAAAAAAAGTTATTACCATGTGCATGTAGTAAAAAAACATTAAGCTTTTCTAAATCATCTGAGTTGCCAATTTGAAATTTCATATATCTTTTCACCGTTTGGTCTAACGCGTCTTTTCCACATTTGGATAATTTGATTTTATCTTCCTTAGTATGCTTTTGAGCTTTGGTGGATTGATTAAAGGGGCCATTCGAGATTTCACCCAATAACATCTCAAGATTAAAGCGATCTTCACTTTCATACGTTCCAAAAATGTCATTTTTTTTTATAGGACCTTTCGAATCATTTCTTTCCAATGTCGCCTTGCTTTGAACCGAATCCCTAAATAAGAACAAATTTAGTTTAACTTTACATAATTATGTTTTCTAAATTACTGTGATCAGCAAATTTTATGTAACACACCATAAGAAATCTTTAGTCTGGAGCAAAGCGAAGGACATTACATTTCTATGCAAAGTAATAAAACGTTTGCCCATTCGTCCATGTGACTATTAATCAATCAAATTGCAATCTAGTTGCACATGATTGAACATAAACTTGTGAAAAAACGTTGAATTTAAAGAAATATTTAAATATTTCTATGCAATAAGCGATTGTCTAATGATCACAGTAATTTGAACGTATAATAATAATTAATTACCATCTAACACAGATATCTGATTCTTTGAAATCAACTAAAAAGTTTACTATTGGTTGTAAAACATAGTGGGCCCATGATGATTCATTAAATTCATTAGAACACGATTGCAACATAGGTATTCTCCATAATTTTTTCCTTTCAGTAAAATTAAAATAAGAATAAATTACAATATAACAATTGTATATTAATATTAGAAATTTTATTAAAGTGCCTAGCGGCATCCCATTGAAAAAAACTCTAATAGATTTATAAACTTAC